GCCAGTGCTCAATTTTTGGTCGCATTGGCGACCAGTGAGTCGCAATTTCGAGCCCTGTGTTATTGTTTTGGGGCTAGGGGCATTGTTTCTGTTGTTTGTTCTATTGTCCTCTTAAAGGGTATCAAGCCATCTATGTGAGACAGAGGTGTAGCAGCTCTGGCAAGCTTGTAATTCTCTTGCTTGTTAGCAGCTGTGATTGTTTTGGGGATAGGGCATTGTTTCTGTTGTTTGGTCTATTGTTCTCTTAAAGGGTATCTGGCCAATCATGCGAGACCTTGCAAGAGCTACTAACTGGCCCACATATTACTCTGTATCTGTTCCTTGGGGTAAGCTTAAACCAGTTGAAAATGTACAGCAAGTTATGTTAAATACCTGTGCTTTAAACTTTACCCAATTCATGATGTGTTCAACAACACCACACTGAGTAACCTGCCAGAGGAGACACAGAAAACATTTAATACAATGAACAGTCATGTTGTTTGATCACTATAAAATCCTGACCATTATCAACTTGACAACAATAAGGCAACAAGAAATATCAACGAGTGAGTGAAAAAAATCTGGCTTGCTTTTTTACAAGGCTTGATAACTTAAGATGGTCCTAAGGCATCAAGAAAGTTATGGCTTCAAATCCTGTATCCATAAAACTTTTATCGAGTTAAGAAAAACAGTTACCTAAATTTTTAGCATGTTCCAAAGACCATTCAATTCAAGATATTGTTATCCTAACACATATGAATTACAAACCTGTTTAATAAACTTGTCACTAAATTCACAAGTTGATCCAAACGCTTTAGCTCTGAGTGTCATGTTCTCCTTTGTTTGTGAGTCAAATGCTGGGTTTTCTATTAGACAGTTGATAAAAACCCACAAATGGTTCTTGATCTGAAATGGCTTGACTTCTACACCTCCCTTGTTCTTCTTTTTCACTGCTGCCATGAGTTTTTCTGCAATTTGGTCTGTCACATAATTGACATGTGTTCCTCCCTACAGAAGGATATCAGGGTGAGAGGAACAGAAAAAAGGAACTACCCAAATTTAAATATTAAATGTTTACCAACCAGTATTAGTAACAAATTAAAAACTACTGGACTACTGGACTACTGGACTCAAATAGAAAATCAGAGATAAGGGGTGCAATTATCAATGATGTTAACATACATGTACATAATCAATTCAGGGCTGTAACCCATAGCACCTGTTATGGCTGAGTATGCTTGTTATTACAGGCGAACTTGGTTGTAATTCAAAACAGTTAACCCATAAAGTAACAAATTTGTTTCAGGTGTCACGGTGTGAAGATCAAGGCTGCAGGTGAATCAAAACTTAATGACGGTCCTGTAAAATTGACCATAAATGAAACGGTTTGATTACTAAATACAAAAAGCTTTTTTTTATATTACCGGTAAATGTTTTAATGTGCTAAAGGGCTGACTCAAGCCAACATTTTTTATAGCAACATCTGAAAGAAACCTTTTTCTCTAAACAGTGAGAGGTCACAGGATGGCTACAACTGTATGGCTTCAAGCCTGTACATGTTTAAAAAAATCTGTCATTATACAGTTAAAAGAACTGTACCACATATAATTGACCAATTCCCAAACTGCTCATCCATGCTGCCTCCTTGGTGTTTAACAAACACATAGTGTACCTTAAATGTAGCTATGCTGTTGACAAAGCTAGCTTGCTGGAAGCCCTTCGTGCTAGTTGTGACACAGACTTCCCAGCGCTTGTTCACTACTTCATGTACAACAGAAGGTTTCTTTGAATTCTCCGAGTCCAGCCCTGATTCTCCTTCATCGTCCTCTCTGCCTTTCAGATAAAGCCCCACATAATCTTTGAATGACTTAATCTGTTGGAGGAAAACAATCACATACAGATCTATGTGTAAGAAAAAACTTAACAATGCAATATTGAGTTATTGTGCCAAGTTTGAAGCTGATAGGTCAACCCCTGTTAGAAACAATGCATTTACATTGTAAAATATCGTGCCATACATGTAGAAGAACATACCCCTACAGTCAACCTTATTGTTTCAACTAAAATGCCTTTAAAAAAGTGTTTTACCAAAACAAAAAAGGCTGGGGTTGAAATGTTGGTCTCAATAAAACACAGCCTAAGTTGTCTACGTGTAGACTAAATTTATTTTTCACTATTCTAAATATAGTATTTTGATAATCAAGGAATGCTGAGAATGAGATGTAAAGGAAAACAAAAACCATCCCTCTCTATTAACAATAACTTGTTGACACTAAACAAAACCTTTGATGGAACATACAGGTAATTTCTTTCCATTGAGATACACTCCAATTCCTCTGACAGAGCCAGCCACATCGTATGCCCTCCTGGTCAAAAGTGCGACAGTGTCACTGTCAAGGGTCTCCATCTTGAACTTGGCTAAATCAGGTTTGAATGTAATACAGGTGAAATCCTTCCCACTAAAATCCTTGATAATTGGCTCTGCTGCTTTTCCCATGTTGTTTGTCCAGGTCTGCAACCCCGCAAAAAGATATAAACTATGTTAACTGCAAAGAAATGAATGGTCGGTGTACAACAGCCTTGGTTTAAATACTGCAGTTAACAGATAAACAAACAAACAATATTTTATTGAATTTCTAAATCAGAATTAACCATGATCGACATCTCGATCAACATCTGATCGTTGTTTGATCGACAGTTGGTCCAATGTCTAGTGACTCATATGTATTGATTGACACTCAATCACGTGTCTACAAAAATCAGTCAACTCTCAAATGACAGTCGATCAAGCGTCAACCAAGTATACATGTAGATCAAGTGTCAATCATGGGTATTGATCGACACTCAACGCTGGATGCCTTCAGTACACGTGATCTATCATGCCAATGTTGATTACTCTAAAGGAATTTGTTGAACACATTATGTAGAGCATTTCCTTAGAAGGGATGTGGGAATGTAGCTGAAGATCATTTTACGGAGTAAGCCTACCTGCTTAAACTTCTTTCCAGAGTCAGAGGAGCAAGTTTCCACAACAAACTTTGTGCTAAAAATGTTACATAGCTTTGCACCATAACCATTACGTCCTCCTGTGACTTTCTTTTCTGAGTCGTTGTAGTTGCTTGATGTCAGAAGTTGGCCAAAAATCAATGTTGGCACAAACACCTTTTGTTCCTTGTGCATTTCAACTGGGATGCCACGTCCGTCATTCCAAATACTGATGGTGTTGTTTTCACTAAAATTTAAGTATACATGGTGGTTAAACTACATTGTATAATAGTTGTTACCCAGTTAGCCTTTGTTTACCTTTTCATTTACAAGCTCGGAATTTTGTTCCCTGTTTCTAACTGTTTTCAGGGCTGTGCTCTAGAAGCACCAGGGTGCCACAGGCGACTAACTTTTGACTTTGGGTGACTGGAAAAACTCACTTTTTTTCATATAAGCTTGAGTGCTGGGCACCCAGGATTTTATGGTTAGGAACCTTTGGGCTCCTCAAAATTTTGCTTGGACCACAGCCTTGGTTTTGTAGGTTAATCTAGATAATTAAGTCATCATATTCAATCCATAAAAATAATCTTTCCTGCCAAAAATACATGCACTAATCAGAGGTTAAAATTACAGTATGTTATATTTGAAGTTGTTATTTACGCAGCTCACAGTAATTTCTGCCATTTTTCAGCACTTCTGCTTTGATGACTCAATTCTACCTCTCATTCTCAGTTCATGGCACAATAACAGCACTAAACAAATGCCAGTCATTGGTAAACAAATGTGGTACAATATTCATTAGGACATTGTCTTTTTTTCTGAACAACCCCTACTGAAAAATTATGAACAGTTCACTTATACTTTTATACATATATGACCTGTGGGAAAAAATTGTACAATTCAACAAATTGTATGTGTTAATGGATCTAAAGCAAATCCAATGCATGTAAATGTAATAACTCTTAACTTACGCATCAATTGTGACTTTAATGCAACCCATGGAAGGATCCCTTTGCTTATTGTCAGCTGCGTTAACTAATGAATCAAGAATTAACAAATAAGACCATTACTATGTTTTAAGTCTGACAAGTGCACATTACATTAATTTTATGCTTCCATCCTTAAATACTTGTACTATCACATTTGATTGACTAATAAAATAAAATTCCAGGAGTTTTCCAGAATTTTCAAGAAATCAAGCCTTGTGCTTTTGTATAAGACTTCTACAAATGAATTAAACCAAGTACACTGTATTCAAACACCTTTTTGCCACCAAAACATCTAATTAACAGAATTAAGGGGTCACATTGCCACTCACAATCAAGGAAAACCTCAGCGGGGAATGGGGGAGGGGTGGTGGGGAAGCCCCATATGAAAACACCAAGTATGCTCATTGTCTCGCTTAGAGTAGACTTGCCACTGAAAGATCTAAATGCAAGTCAACATTATGAGTTTCAACAGAGAATAACCAAGTGAGTGAAGCAAGCTGCCAGGTTTTAGGCTGCAAAGTGGCCATTCAAAAGTCACAAAGCGGCCAAGTGAATGATGAAACCGTGGGCAGTCTGGTGGGTCAAGAATAAATGAGATGAAGGACTTTTCTGGAAGTCTGCGCTTAGGGGTGTAAATCAAGGATCTAAGTCCCACTCATTTGTGTTCAGGATAAAAATCATCAAAGTGTCTTTTAGGGTGCGCTCAAAGAAACAATAAGAAAACCACAGTCATTTCCATTTTAAGTGGTATCTTTTAGTGGTAAAATAAAGCTCAAGCTACCCCAGATTGGTTCAATTCAAATTTTCTGACAAGCATCCCTGACCTTTTCAAATGGCAATACCCCTCGGAAAGAAACACATCAAATATTATTGCTTTAATTTTTCAAAATCTGC